CGAGATAGTCTAGTTAGCACCTGACCAACTGAACTGTTCGTTGAAGTACTGCGCCCACCGGTCAAGACGTTGTTCCCTATTGTGAATAGCTTGTCATCTTTTGTCGCAGATTGTTTCACTAACTGCGTTTCGCCGACCTCCCGTGTTGCGTATCAGTTGGAACAGTCTCTGACTCCCTAATGCAGCTGCAATTTCCATTTTACTGCATATACCAAGGAAGACTCGTTACAATAATCTTTATAACCAATAAAAAAGTTCATGAAACAGTATATTTTTTATGATAACTTCGTCCTAACTCGTGCTATGCAATCACCGGTATAATTTGGTTGATCCGTTACTCATTCGTACTGCTATTGAAACACACTCCATTTAAATAAGCACTCAAACTAACGCCTTTCTGTCTTGTTGGCTATTGATGATATTTTTGCCATTTTGGCGGTAGCTTTTGGTTATCAAAATCACTTTCTTTAATTTCGCGGAGTACATTTCCTATATTTTCCTCATTTTCTTTTCAAAATACTGTTTGCAGCGTGCCAAGTTTTTCTCTATTCCCTCTGTCTACAATCCCAAAAATAACAGACAAAATTCAAACTTACGTGCCTGAAACAAAAAATGTTGTTATCCCCTATTTGCTACTGATTGCTTTTGTTTTTCGTCCTGCCTCAGTGATTTTCTTTCAACTCCTGGCTTCTTTGTTGCCCTATCTATAAAGGAAGCTGATATTTAGTTTTCCGACAGGAAATCCACAAGAAAAGGCTCGCAAACCATTATCTTCTCTTTTTTAACTTTCTAATTGCTGACTCAATACACACAATATTGATATCTGCAGAACTGTGTCATTTCTCTGTTGCACTACAATATTTCTTACTCTGCACTTGATTACTGTCAAAATCATTTTTCTATGACACTCCACGTTTGTTACAGGTTGTGTGTAAGGTTCCAACGCCTTATCTACTGGATAAAAAGAAATAGGCACGGAAACCAAGGCATCAAATGCAGTTCCTTCCCATCGCTCACTTTAACCTCATAACGATTTTTCCTTTCTCGCCTTTTTCTTTACGTGACATCACGTTCTACAATCTGGAAGGCCAGTATACACAAATTAACTTGCAGAACAAGCTACACACTGAATTTATTTGGGTCATAGTAGAGCTAATCACCACCCTGTCAAACAAGTGTGATGGTAATCGGTCGTTAATGCTATCGTCAAACTCTTACATTTCCCCAAAATTCTGATCTAGCTTTTCCCTTGACCGGTCAAATTCCTCAGTGTTAGGAACACAAATGTATTTGATACATATTTATTATTATTCTGATAGATCTGTCACAAGTTTTCAGTGCACTGGGATCTTCGTTTCTTATCTGGTTGAATGTCAGTTCTTTCCAAGTGCCTTTCAATTTCTAATCCTCTGGGTCAAAAATCGTTACTTAGGTGGTGTTAACAGATCAGCTGGTCATTAATTTATCACCAAACGGTCCACTTTTATTCCCGAACTGTATAGCCTATAGTGTGCAGCTCGTGCCGGACCAGTGGGCAAGTCCATCCGAGTAGTCAAACTAACCAGTGGTTGTGTTGCTCACACTACGGTTCGCCCTGGTATGAGTTTGAGTCCCATGGCTTCGGTGGACCGGAGGTAACCCTGTATCTTTCTTCGTGTTTTGTCCGCTGTTTACCACGGAATTCTAACCTTTCTTTTTCGTGTTTTCTTACTCTAACAATGGACAACTAACTTCATATAGTGGGATAGCGATATCATCTGACAGTTTCAGTTAGATTTACATGGGCTGATCTGTCTGATATCTCAGTGTCATGTGATTCAGAATAATGAACTGACCGAGAATAACTTTACCATTTGGCTGTGCAGTGCTATCCACAACTATAACAAGGAAGTAGTAAAGAATTTAATTTGGTAACATGATTAATTTCGTCGTACGCAGAGCTGGAAAAAAACAGGAACTGGAAAAGTTAGGAAACACTACATCGGCAGTGTGAATTCATCAACCCGACAGGTAAAACGTAGGCGTACTATCCACTTAATCGCCGAGCAGTTAGCAGTTCCGAAAGCTTTCCTTTTCCTATATACAGTCTGGCGCAACTAATCTTTTCTAGCTTGTTGCGGAAATTTCACCTTGCTTGTCTTAACACTAGCCTCGAGGTCTATGAATCGGCCATAGACCTTAAATTCCTGACGACTGGTATTGTCGGTTCTCTGCGATCCGTTCGGTGGACAATCTATGAAGCAGCTAGAATGATATCCATGACCTCATTCGTTTGTAGGTATGGCATCAACTGCGTCAATCATGTACTAGATGATAACAGAATCGTGTTGATAAACCTATTCTCTGATATTGGGTCTCATTTGATTTACACATGTAGCCAGGGTAGCAGTGGTAACAAAGAATGCTACCATTATAATAGTTGGTCTTCTGGTTCATCCCTGTCTAGATCACGTCATACATTTGTAAAGAAAATCTTGTAATTTACTGTATGCGACCCTGCGCTCATATAAAAGAGAGACCCGTGTGATATGTATATTCATTGATTAGTTTTTAGACTCTGATATTCGCGTAGACTCCATAGCTGCTCTGGAGTAACGGTAGCTAATATAGACATGCATCACCAGACGCTTGTGTCAGACAATCCGGTTTGATGTACCATCGCAACTTTGTCTCAAATGCTTGTTGCATTGCTAACTGTAGAAGGGTCTTTGTGTAGCTGTCAACTTTTGCCTAACGATTACTGTTCCGAACGATTTTATGTGAATTTAACTAAACCTGGGTCCTTTCTCGATGAACTCTCACACACCGTCAACCTTGCATTCCTACCTTTGTATTCTAAAACTTGTTATTGCCCATCCTCCACAGAAAGAGCTCGAACGATACATAGTAATTCGTCCAAGGTGTCCAAATAGCTTGAGCCTTTCCGATTTACGTAGTCATTTCACTCGGCCCAGTCGAAAGCCCACACGGATTTACGGGTTTCGGTTGCCCAAACACTTATCCGCATCGATTTCATCTGGCCTGGAATCAGAGGTAATGATCTTTCGATCAGTGTGAAATCTCACTTAATGTCGTCGCTAATCTTTTTGTTATTGACGTTAAATTACTATGATGTGAATGGCATGAATGCTACCGAGTACCACAAGTATACATTTTTCTGTTTGGCTCTTACCGGTATCTTCTGCAGCTTTTCGATACTGTCCCTGCTCATTAAGGCCCAACAAACAGGACAACCATTTCTAGTCTGATAATTTGCTTAGGGTCTGTTTTTTGTTATATTTAGTAGTATGGAATGCAAAAGAAAATATGAATCTCACAATTCAACTTGTTAGCGATTCAGCTACTGAATCATCTAAATGATAGACCAAACGGACTTGTACACTCACCAGGGACTGTAACTTGGCCTACTCTTGGGATCCGATTATCTGCCACTGCGTACCGGACTCCTTACAAACACATTGGTCATACCTGTCATCTGAAATAACCGGGTGCCCAACAATAGTAAAGTGTTTATCACTTCGTCTCTGTTAAGTGATTAAGATTGTATTGTGCATCGTTTAATCCATTAGAAGAACCCTCCACGTATGAAGATGTTAGCTCATGCGGAGTTAGCATGCTACTCATACAGGATCTCGCACTCCCTTCCGTTCGTGCTGTTGAATCCAATGGAACATAGACTGTTTCGGAACTAAACGCTTTGTTCACACACCTCCCGTCTCTATTGTGCAATATTATTCTTATGAATATGTGTACCTCCTCTCTGTTCACCTTTTTTCGTTTGGCACATGCCTTGTGTATCTCACTACATTGGCTTGTTGGTAGCACTTTCGAAATGGGTCTGCCAATGCTCCTCGACCCCGAGTAAATTTTGCGTCTGGCCAGGTACAACGCAACCCCCCGCACCGTCGTTCCCTACGGGATTTACCGCCTTATGCACCTACTACCAGTGTTTACCGTCGCCCACGGGTAATTGTTCCCCAGTCTTGTATACAGACTAAATCTTACAAGTATATTGCTACCCGTCTGTTGTTGACTTAATCTGTTACTCCCTGTTTTGACCATGTTGATAAATCATCTACTTTTGTTTCCAGTTAGGAAACAACAGTAACGATAATCTGTGTAATCAAGCGAACTTATTATGTTTGTGCTAACTAACAGCTCAAGCACTCAGATTTAAAGTCACAAAAACGTCCCTAGAAATTACCATGGTGCGTTTCGTGACAGTGTATTTGACTAGGCAATCTAATGGGTAGTTCAGTTGTTTGTACTAAGCTTCGCATATCATTAATCCGCACTCTCCTGTTAATATGGTCTGCTAGTGTGACGTCATCCTCGCTGTAGTTTCGTTTCAGGTCAATAATAGCTTTGTGAGTCTGGATGTGTTAGTTTTCAGCTCCTCAAACCGTATTTGTTTGTATAAAATTCGAAATATTGAACTGAAGAGAAATAAGATAAATGAGGCATAAGTTTTTCCAACTAAGCAGGAAGTTACATCATTCAACACAGCAAGAAGGAGACGTGCGAGAAATGACAATACAGGATAACGAAATGTTGACAAGGTATTGAAAATCGTTTCTGGTAGCTCGAGTGAACTAAATTCAATTTCACCTGTTCACCGAGTTTGGCAATTTGTTTGCCAACGTTTCATCACCAGCGCCACTTCAGATGCACTGACAAAGTCACTTGGGTTGGTGACGTTCACCAGCAGGCGAACAGACAGTGGAGGATTTGGAAAAACCCAAAAGCAATTAAATAGAAGCTTCACCTTTGAGCGTGTGGAAAAAGGTAAATATACACAATAAATTTCGAAGAAATAGGAAGTTGAATAACATACACTGAAAATACAAATGGAAAAATGTGCACAACATCAGAAACAACGGGGCAAGTGACGGGTTTCTTGCCGTTGAGCACGTAATATCATGATCCTCAGCGTAATCGTATCGTAGAGTACACGCAATGCATGCAAGGTAAGGGAGAATGTGTAAGGTTGACAGGGACTGAGCCTGTTTTTATCGAAGAGGAAAGAAAGTGAATCCCCATGGTCAACACAGTGTACAACCCAACTGGCATAGTAACAACAATACTACTGTCGGTTCGCTGCCATGTTTTTTTATTACACACCGGTGTGTGATGGTCAACAGACGGGGTGGAATCTCTTAGTCACGAAGGCCTGCTAGTCACTGTGCCCAACCAATCAGTTGCAGAATCTATTAGACCCTAACCTGAAACGCGGGAATTGAATAAGAATGTTGAAATAGGGCGCCCTTGATAAACACTGCTGCTGGTTTCGAACGATTTGTTTAGCTCGCCGTAGATCCTAACGTGTGTTCGGCGATTACCATATTGATAGTTTATTCGGACTAGAGAATTTAATTGTAATTTTCCGCAACTGTTGGAGAACTGTGATGATTTGACGCTTGTTAACATATTAGCACTGCCGATGACTGGCAGAACGGTACACTGGAAAGTTGGCTCAAATCAGAACCATGTATCAAATTTCAAAAACACGTGTGTTGAGAAAAATGAAATTGTCGGTTAAAATCACCAACACATACACATGTAATCACTTATTCTTGTAGTTTGGGAAGGTCGGAAATATGTTTACTTCAGAAATGAGTAATTAAACCAACCGCTTTCCTGTTAACCGCTAATACTTTTAACACATTCCATGTTTTAAATCACTGGTGCACAGTTATTTAATGATTTTGAGGATAATGCATTTTAGGTCAATGAAGCCGGCCGCCAATGTACGATGATGCATTTGCGTGCTATCGTGCTTCTGCCCACAGCAAATGTGAATCCACCGCGAGATTAAAACACTTATTGTGACTGTGGTATGCGGTTGACTCGTGAACCTATGCATGATACCTGTTCATTATCTTAGGGTTTTATTTGAAACTACTCGAGTATCATTTCCGCAGCTAAACATGTCTGAAGATGCCCGAGCTTGGGTATACTCGCTTGTTTCTCATACTCGAGAGCAGTTCGACCAAATGCCAACGAGATGGCATCGTCCTCCAATGTTCCCTAGTAGTTTCAGCGACTCCAGTCCTGTTTTTTCGCTTTCCGCGGAGGTTCAAACATTGGATCCCGCTAGCATTCTGCAACAATATGCTAACTGTTTTGTACGGTTTTAGTAAACTTTGGAAATAACTACAATTCAGTAATGTTGTTCTGACGGGAGACATTTTCGATGGTCATTTTTTTGTAGATCAAACGACTAGTTACTCATAGGATAAGGCCAGATAAATCGAACTATGGGTCAGTCGGCAATAGTTCTAGGTTAGTGACTTAGGGATATCAAATTCAGCAGCACTAACTAGTCGGTTATTTCCCCGACTTCTTGTACGTGATTGACAAATGCTGGCTAACTACCTCAATTTTCGGTTGAACGTGAACTGAAGAAGTGATGCTGATATCGCACAGCCGGGATAATCTTTCGCATAATGAAAAGCTTACGAAGCGAGACAATCGCCGTAAGGTTTCAACTTACCTAATTTCAGTTACTCCACTGATTAGAGAAAATTAATAAAGACAATGCAAGTGAGCTAATTCAGCAGCTCCAGAAGAGTTTGGGTCAGTTCCGGAACGTTCTAGGGGGATAAATCGTTCCGTGGGTAATCAGATGAATGAGATGTAATGTTTTTTCCATCATTTAGCGAACTAGAGTAGAGAACAAGAGAGGTCTGTTTATAGGGCTCCATTCATCTAATTGACAACTGATTATCTACAGGGTAGCAGAAAGTTAGAGTAAGTAAAAACAACGATCAAACGTAATAAACATTTCGGAATTGGTAATAATGTTTCACCATAAATTCAACTGATCTGGCATCGATGAAGATCAATGATAATCGATCGGTATGAATGGTAGCTTAATTGTGTTGACTGTACAAACCGCGTTGTTTTGAACAGAAACAAGCATATATAGTTTTTCGCTCAACTGTGCAACTGTGTTTTTGGCTCTAGCATTCCAGAGTAAACCTCTTCTATCGGAAAGTTGCGTTGATATTCTCACTTATGGGACATGAATTTGTGTGCAGCTGTTCGATTAATTCTTCGAGGAAATTTGAGGGCTGTTTTACCCTTCACATTTATCGCACAGATACCTGTGAGTACTGGTATGCGATAAGTGATATTGATTTGGACTGATCATCTTTCAGCCTTCACTTTCAAACAATCCTCAGTCCATCTCGACAACCACACACTTGGAAGCACCAGATCCAAGTTTCAGAAGGTATGCCACAAAAATGCTGTTTCATAGCCGAAGGACTGATAACTTCAACTTTAGTGGTAGCTGAGCTGTTTGTATGACAGAAATTCTCTTCTTTCCGTCATCGTTTTGACCCTGGATTTTCTGTCACCCACAAGTTTCTGTAGTATGCTCAGTACTCGTCCTTAACCCTTCTGTTCGGTGTTCATTTATACCGATACGTAATCTCGTTTCACTGTGTATCCTATTTGGTGCTCAATGTGGTGTGTAGTGTCTTAAGCCTCCGTGATTGTTGTTCATCTCTACTCGTCTGCGTTCAATCCCAAACAACTAGCAAGGTGGCTTAGATAGCCCTTGCACTTGTGATCGGAAACCTCCACCCTATTCTGGTCCTTCTCGCCCTCATTTGGGAATTGCAAACGCAGTCTCTGAGCCGCGTTCTAACCCGCATCATTACGGGTTTCATGAGGATTCGAGGTTGTTACCGGGAAGCAGGTCTGTGGCAGATTTGGTTCGTGATCTGGAAGCCATTGCCCCACATATGGTGCGTGTTTCTTCACATCTACGCAGTTGAATTTTTATGTGCGTGTGAACGCGCGCGCTTGATCACTAGCTTATTATTGTAGTGCTCGACTAGTTAGGTACCATTCATTGGGTTAACCGATATACTGAAGTTTGTTTCATAAACTTCGAAATGTTGCTTACCATCGAATGGCAGTCTGTTTACTCATATTTCTCATGGTATACAAGAGTCGTCTCGATAATTACGGGTGAACTATGCAGATGAAATTTTTCATTAAATAGTTGAACTCCAGAACCTCTGACAGTTTTGAGCATTCCCAGATCCACTATTTTATCATTCATGTATAGTTTTATAATTCTTGGTAAAAAGCTGATATTACAAGCTTCTTGGGGGTCGCTTCATGTTTAATTGTTATTACACGTGGGTAAACTACTCACAATTGACCACTTTCTTCTGTGAAGCAGCTTTTCTCCCATGCGTTCATCGTTAACGTTGGACCGACCTTCCTGAAATTTTATGCCATTGTCTTTTCTATAAAACGACACATGATTAAAGCCTAGTTGGTTTTAATCTATTCGCATAGTTGTAGCGACAAATTATATTCTTTTGGGTTATCGATTTTTTGGTTGTATACCTCAGGCATGGATGGCTACTGACTACTCGGTGGAATGTGGGTCGATCAAACAAAATAACATTTTGTTTTAACAGCTATGTTATATCGTTTGGGAAAATGAGTTTTCTAGTTAACTTACTCCATATAAAAACATGGATAGATAAGTTATTAAACTTTCATTTTGTTAGAATTGTAGAAATCGAACGCTTCACTACATTTGGGGGCATTCTGTTTTGTGGTTTCTCTGAGCAAATAACTGGGGTTTTTCATTTGACGACAACCTAGTCCCCGGACTGCTAATTCTCCCACGTATTTTATTTTTTTTATTTTCAGACCTAGACTAATCACCGTGTCTTGACACAAGCGAGTTTTCTTAGGCAGTGAGAGTTGTCCTTCGACTATGCTACTCAATTAACTACTTGAATAAACATCTCGACCAGTCACTCGGTCCATTATTCCATCCTGCTTTTCCCATATGTATATTATTTCCATCTTTGCTACATCCCGGTCAGTCCAACTCTTCCGATTGTATAAATCAGCCTACTCAATCACGACTGCCTTCTTCCGTTCGTCGTTCTGATCGCCGTCGTCGGCGTGCACCGGGTGTGCCTTATGGTTCCATGATTAATCTGAACGGAGAGGCGGAGGTAATTCTCCTTGGGTTTACGGGCCCACTGACTGTCCCAGTTATTTTGGGTATTGGTTCTATGGTTGCTCTATCGCCCAATTCTGTTGGTGTTTGTGTCCTAACCGAATCAATTATGTCATTGTAAAGTAGCTCATATCCTATGGTTACCTATAATTTGCCGCGTAATAAGCCGTGGCTCATGATTTTACAAGCTGTTCGCGGCCATCCGGTCATTTTTGAACTGAAATTGCTAAGTTCAGTTTCGATAGACACAGCACATTTTACTATTCCTTTGTGGTTCTACAGTTCATGATCACATAACACCGTACGTCCCTGATTTATTAATCATTCCTCAGACCGTTGTCCCTCAATCACGAGTTCACTTTTGCAGCCAACTTCTCCCTATCCTTTCTACTTATTTTTCCACCTTTTTATACCAACGTAAATAAAATATTGTTTGGCTTATAAGTTGCATTACCGTTTCTCGGCATTCTGTCTTACATCTTTTAAGCGCCCTCCAAAATTTACTCTTCAGCAAGGATTTCAATCAGGTTCATTGTCACCCGTAAGTAATAACGGTTTTAAAGTGTGAAGAACATGAGCTGGTGTTTTTTTATAAATTCTTTGGGGTTTTGCTTCGGTGATTCCTTTTTAAACGTTCACAGTCCGTTAAAGAACAAGCTTTTAACCCCTGATAGATAGTTTTGTTTTTGTTCAGTACAGGGTCATGTGTAACATTTTAATTCTTCACACTGTGAAACTGAAAAGTTTATAGCTTCCGCATTCAGGGTGTTTTGGGGTTTCACCTAAGCCACTTTTCATTACAGTTCACCTGTCATCTACTACCCTATGATCAAGATTCACGTTTATTTCTGATCCCGCTTACTCGAAAACAGTTCATTTTCAATGCAGTGTATTCAGCTTTTCTGTTTTTGTATTGTCCATTGATTCTTTGTCAGGATATGTTTATAAGCAGGGAGTTTCCGTCATCTGCTTCGGACTCGGACAGCAATCCACAGGGTGGTCAATCGAAAACAGTTAAAGTTCATCGCATTCCAATTTCACGACAGTCCGATGTCCACCGGGAGCCAAATGAGTTTACTTCACTCAAGGTAACTGTGAGTTCTTCTCTGTCGTATACCAGTCATTGAATCTGTGTGGAATACATTTTATAGTCGTTTTTTTTAAGTCTGCTTGAATGAGGTTCTTCGTTTGGTTGGGTTCTCACTTCGAGTAATGAACACCGAAATTAGTGAGGTATTGTTATAGACTCGTGTGAAGTTCCGCTATGTAATGAAATTCCCTTTCTGTTTAGATCAGTGAAACTTTCCAAAAAAAACGCATTATCTGTCTTGCGTGTTTTCTAGCCTCGATTATTTCTGTTCACAAACCTGCAATGTGATCACTCCTACTTCAAAATAAGCTGTGTTAGTTTTTGTTTTACGTCACATACTGGCTAGTGTCGTTAAGCAATGCGCGGTTACACCAGGCTCATCTGAATCAACGACTCGCTTTGTATTATGTGTAGCAATCATAACTCAAATTACATTGTTAGTATTCGAGCCTGAGGAGGTTCGCAGATCCGTAGATATAAAACATTAGATGTAGCTGCTCTTTCAGATTGATATATGAATAGCTTTACGGTAAAAGGGTTCTAATTAAGCATAATGAACTNGTTCCGAATGAATCTAGACTAGCGACTTCACACCATGAATTTTTCATCTCCTTGCACATTCAGGAGTTCCTTCGAGGTGCTGCACGGGAGTTTCTTCTTGATGTGAATACCCAAGAGTTTAGTTTGCACACTTTATCTGAGTACATCAGTTCCTTGTAGGAATAATCTTTTTCGTTCTCTCCATTGATCTCTTTCAAGTTTTACTTTTATCCATCATCTCCCTTGCAATCAAAGCCTTCTGTACCAGACGGAAATGCTATTCCGCTTCATTATCAGTCATTGCCCAATCGACCTTTTGTGGCTCCTAATGACTTGCCCGGTTACGGTCGAACACCGTCCCCGGCCAGACGTTCAGGTCCACCCATCACTGAGTCGGAAGTAACCACGCCCACTGAGGTCAGCACGACATCCTCATCGTTTCCAATTCCATCTTCTAAACCAACTCCAACACCATCAGAGCAAATTGATCTGGCACTGACCGAGTTGGCCGAGATTCGCTCGCAAATTGATACATTCTCGTGTAAGCGTTCCTTCTTTTATATTGTTTATTCTTCCCGTATCCACTTTTACCAATGATGACGGATGTTTCCTCAATGCATTGTTGTGGTTCACTTGTTATCGTAGTTGTTCTCACACCACCTCGGCTCATTTAATTCGACTTCAAGTAATTTAACGTAATGTCACGTGACGACGCATCAGCTCCTCCTGCAAAGCAGATTCTATGCAATAAGAAAGTAAATATAGGCGATCTGCATTGCTAGTTGGCTATGTTTCGGTTTGATAATAAACTGATGATAAAACTGTCGCATTAACCAAGTGTTGCGAACAAAATTATTGATGAGAAATCGATTGTGAGGTGTCTTACTTGATTTGCATCAGCCTCGCGGTGGAGTATAGGGCTGTAATCCACCAATAAACACCAGCTTTTGCGCGAACCCAGAATCCAACTAAATATGCAAGGTGTTTAGAGAGTAAACTAAATGTCATCAGAAAGTAAAACTATCTGACCGTGTCGCGCCGTATCCATGAGTTCCAGTTATCGTTAACTCAACTTTGTGGTTGGATTCAGTAGATGATATCAAACCATGTCCTATAAACTCAACTTTCATCTGGTCTATAATGGACTCATTGCACAAATGCCTTTTTATCCTTATCTCCTTTAACACCTGCATCCACTTACCAAACTTCCGCTTCTCCAAACCAAAGGGAGGAGAACGGTTGCTCTTCCTACCCATCCTGCTGTCATTAATTCGCGTTCATCTCATCACCCACGGATTTGCAGTCGTGAGCTATAGCCGGTTACTCTATTCATGCAGCACGCGATGCATATTAATCATTTTATCTCGATGGGGAAAATCCCACCGAAAAAATTCCCAATTGTTTCGCATTTTTGATATCTTGATTCCTTCGTTGCGCAAAGCAAGTTAAACAAATGAACCTCGTGACACCTAACTGGAAAGTAGAACGAACCGGACTGCAATACCTTATGCACGGCATTTTCGTTCATTTTTTAACGGTATAGGTTTTGTTTATGGTTTTTATCTCTGCTTTCGCATTTCACTTTAAGGTGGGTTTGATCACCGATATGCTTTTACACTTACGATTCCTAACAAGTTCCCTCCAGGTTATTCTCCTCATTTTTTGGCCGCGATCAGTGAAGTTCGCTTCACTGTATTCCACTGTACGACAATGATGATTTTCCCCAGCTATTGGTTTTGTTATGATGGCTGACCGGCTCTCCACTGTTGGCGGTCTTCTAAACATCTGGTAGACTATGAATATAATTGTGCTTTAGTGACAGAGAAACATTGTAAGCGAGCTTTCAGTGGCGTCAGCGGGTTTTCGTTCTATTCCACACTTTATTGAAGAACTGAAGCTACTGCACGTAGACAGCAGCTAATAATTGAATCGGATCAGCAGTCTAGAGGAAGTGGCTGAAAATTGTGCAGAAGATTCCATGATTCTCACACTCAACTTGCAGTGTTAGTTTAGAATTGGGTACCAATGTATGCATCAGGGAATAGTCAATGTCTGTTACAGCTGGTACACAACACGCGCCCTATTTAGTGAAAAAAACTACGACAGAAGTGGACAATCCACTCACAATAGGGAACAACGGCTTGACCAGTGGGCGGAGTATTTCGAAGAACAGTTCAGCCTGCTTGGCGCTAACCGGATTATCTCATCTATTGTAGCTGATAATCTGTGGGCAGTGTCATGTGAACCTCCCACAGAAACAGAAGTACGATCTTGCATTAGATTCCTAAAGAAAAAAAAGCAACAGGACCTGACGGACTTCCTATCTTTTAAACATGCAATCGATGACCTCATGGAGTTCAATACTGATTAACTGCATAACGTTTGGTTGCAAGAGCGCATTCCTTCATCCTGGAGCGACTCACTGATCGTTCCAATTTCCATAACGGGATCGCGCAACGACTGCGCAAACTACCACGGTATACGTTTGATCCCAGTCGTCAATAAAGTATTAGCCCCGACGTACTTCGACGTTTGATGGCTTTCAGCAGGATTAATATCCGTTAACAGCAAGCAGAATTCCGACCACGTCACGGTTGTGCCGACCAAACCTGCACGTTGCGTCAATTTCTCGAGTTACATCATACACGTCATCGACCAACGATCGCGGTGTAGCGTGACTTAGAAGGAGCCTTCTACTCAGTTGGCGACGAATCCCTGATAGATTTGCTTCTTCCCACGAGTATGCTCTAGAAGCACGTATATATACTGAAGTTAATGTACTCGCATACTTCTGGTAGCTTAAGGGTCTATGGTGAGCTAAAGAAATAGGGGACCTGCTGTTTAGTGGTGGAAACCGGCAACCTAAGCCCCGGGATTCGGATTGGCGAACTACATGAGCCCCGATCGGTTAAGCGTGGTATTTCACCGGACGACAGCAGAGCTGTCTATTCCCAAAGTTGGGTGGCGGGGCTCGAACCTCTGACCATCGGGTCCAAAACACGCCGGTGACGGTGACTAAACCACTGCGCCACCACCACCCACTGTTGCGGCGATAAACGGTATCAATCGAAGCAATGAACAAGTTTTAGTATCAACATGATTCAGTGATCTGTACTCCAAGGTTTTGACAGATTGTTGTGCTGTCGCGTGTGTTAGTGTCTTTTATGCATTGTATTCTGGAATTCTGTTTTGTATGCTGAGCCGGTTGTGTATGCGTAACCCCATCAATTTGGAGATACTTTATACAGCAGCTGCACCTTTTGTGAGTTGCGTAGTTGTTGATTATGCTTGTCCCCAGAACAACCGTACGAAAGTGCATGGTTAATTGCTGAAACTGGATATCTGCTTCTCTGCATGTGTCTTCGTGTGCCCTTACTCGGTATATATGAGAATTATTATGAATATATCGTCTGTCAACCAGTCATCCTACGCATCTTTCTATCCTGAGTTTTTCTCACTCTTGTTTGAACAGCCACAACAAAGAACAAAACCTATCTGTATCTAGAAGATCGTTTGGATAAGTTGCTACTCAAATTCGATGGCATTGAAACGGGTGGTGACGACTCGGTTCGGCGGCAGCGCAAACAAGCGGTTCGTGAGACACTAAACGCGATTAGCGTGCTAGAAAACAAATTAGCTCCTAACGAACAGACAACCACACCTGCTACCTCATCCGGGAACGGTACTGTCGGTAATATGGTTAAACAGACGAAAAATCCATCTTCCGAGAGTAAACCAGAATATACGAAACCTCAAGAGGCTAGTACAGATCAACCGTCAGGGATAACAGAAGCCGAACAACCACAAAGAGAAGAGGTCGACGAACTCAGAACAGTTGCTACAGACGTCCCCGCCCTAGCAGGTGCACAGGAAGCCCAAGCAGACAGTTCAGTGAGTCAAGATGCGGATGTCGCCGGGGAAACAAAACCGGTGGAGGACTAGTTAGTTGCGAAATCTGAATGGTCACTTCCTTTCACTGTGAAGCATCCGTGTCATCCCAGTTCATTGATACCAGCAGTCTTTATCCTGAAAATTTCCCACTGCAACAACGATTACTTCACTGAGTCACACGAGCACCGGTTTGCAATTTCTTTGATTCTTATTTATTAACCTGTTGTCTTCAACTGGACTTTACAGCCACATCACGATTGTTTCGTGATCCCCCACCCGTACGCTGATCCATTCATTCTCGGTCGCCATTCGCAGCGTGTTGCGTACACTTCCAGTTTTTTCTCATTTATACACAAATATGATTAGAAACAACTTTTGACCCTTGCTTATCGTAGAAATTATTTCTTGACCTTATCTGTGTAACTCGAAATGCTCATGTGAACTTTGACTTAAAAAAAATCTTCGCCCTGTATGATTGTGGTTTTTACGGCACGATTTTCGTCCCATCATTTGAATTTTGTGATTAGATGCGGTCAATTTTAACGAAAATCTAATGTGAAACAATTAAAAGCCGTTAACAACTGATTTCAACAGCATTCACAGTTAAGTCGGAATTATATTCGTCGAAATTTGAAGCGCTGGTGATCCCTAATTAGATTTTCATGCTACACCCACTGTTGTTGATGTGTGCAGTGTTCAAGTAACCTGTATGGTACTTTTAACTTTGGGATTAAAAGAGAGGTGCTAAATATCAAACAAGTCGGTTTCAGACTGTGTTATGAATGGTCTGCGCAGCACCGAATAGAAATAGCGATCAACCGGATGCAAGGTCTTTTTTATTAAGTGAGGACAAGCAAAGTTACAGTGACGCCCACTGTTGCCTCCAAAAGCCTCGGTATGGTTGGGGAGAAGGGCTGGTCACCCTTCCCTTACACCACGCGAAATGCTCCTATACGACCAAGCGTTTCAAACAGCGTCTGTTTAGGAAGACCTACTCTCTACCTTCTTGTGGTAGAGATGTTTTCCCACCAGTGTCAGAGGATGAAAAGACAACATCCGGCGCTATAACTGGGTCGATAGACCACTGGCAGTCCACCTATGGGGGTTGACTAAAAACATCGATTCCAAACCAAATAAGAAGAGACGTACGAACCACACTCCCCACCACAGCTTCTTGGTTGTGGCAATAGTCACCGGCTCAATCAGGCATCGAGATGTGCTGGGCACCTGGGACGTTGACCACGTCAAACTTGTTCGATAGTGCCAGTGCTTCAAGTTTTACCCAATAAATCGTTTGAGCCCGCAAATGATATCACCGATGGTGACTGTGGCAATTGCACTGATAACGTTCGACTTCATTGGTGTGCTGTGGGGCTTGGTCAGTCTATTTCCTTTTGCATCACGGCCGTTTTACTCGTTAACACCTAGAAATCCTGTTGAGACAGTCAATGAGAAACGCCTTCTCAGACCCTAGTGATAAAGCCAAGGTTAATTTAATCCAGAGACATCGGTCCCGAGGTAATAACGACAAAGAGAGTCGGGTCATGAGGAGGTGGGGAGGGGATGAAAATAAGGAAATGTGAAAATTGCTTTCTAAGGTAAAACTTCATGTCACACCTAGATCGAGTTTTATCACAGAAATCTTTTATGTCTCATTATAGCTTGTTTCCTCGTATTGATACATTTTCTGGACTGGTATGTTTGGAAGTCAGATTATCACCTGACAGTACTAATCATAAACGTTTTCTCTGTGTTGAAGACAAACAAGTTGGCTGCCTCGAAAATGGTCGTTACAACCTGAGGTGCAGCATGGTTTGAGGAAAACTGTCAAATACCATTTGATTATCAACTTGGCGGACTGCATGCAAAATGACTGGCCCAAGGGCTCAAAAAACAAAGGAGGATAGTTACAAAATCAAAGCGCAATGCCTGTTGAGTCGCTTTTATAAATAAATTCGTACGATTTGTTCTACTGAGGTTCCGTTATCTAACTGCTGGTTCGCCGCCAATAGTTGACGTAATCAAAATCCTATGAGGTATTCGACTCAAGAAGTAAAAATATAAGTGGACATCATTATAACTGAGGTGTTTGGTATGGCCTTATACCTTGTTCATTCTCGTGAATGAGGCTTGAAATACTAAGCATTGAACAGGGGAGGTTTGACTAAAGTCAGGGTGTCGCACAAAGTCGATCAACGTCTGCATTCACTCATGAATGTGGAGTTCGTCCTTCCACCGGTATTCATACTTGGGCGTGTAATTAGGAAACAAGTACGCCAGCTTTCAAACATCCGAGATGCGCTTACCTTGTCACGCGTTCATGTTTCCGATCCTCCTCATCTGCTCAGTATCGGTATATTGTTCGGTCTTTATTCTTTGTAATAACTTCTAAAATGTTATTCGATTGTTGCACTGTGATTTCCCGTGAAAAACTGACGCTACGGGTTTACGTGCTCCAAATGTACTGAACAA